ACTACCGACTAAAAGTGCGTTAGTAGTGCTTGCCTTGTTTATAATCTTGTAGATGCGTGAGGCAACTCTTTTTGCGTCTGAGCCTCCACAACATCTCTAGACGGTTTCTCTTGTCAACCGTTACGCTGTGATTTAATGTAATAATAGAACAGACTGATTGAAAAATTTTGTGTCTTTTGAGTACTCAGAGTAAAATGCCAACGGTAGAGATTGCGCACTTTTTACAGCGCCTTCTTGATTATGGTGAGGAATGGTCTAGTTTATTATTTACATTTCAGTCATTCAGGGAGTAGGCGTTATTATGCCTAGCAAAAATGACATTTGTTGAAAAATCCCCTTTAGAGTAGTAATATTCCATTTATGGGGTAAATGACAGGTTACTACAAGCTTGTCGACCATATTCATTAGTTGTGAAAGCACATGTAGTCGCTGACGCCTACTTGATAGCTTCAATCATTGTAAATCGAACATTTGCCTGGACAGGATTAATGAGTCTGCGAGTCGTGGTTCTATTGGGCTTTGCGCAAAGTGTCGCTCAAGTAATAATTCCCAGGATCCTGCATGAAATTTCATTCCGAAAAGCTACGATACCAAATAACTAAGAAGTTGCCTTCGGAGTGCGTTAAAAATAAAATAAAATGTAAGACTGTGCTTGTATGCAGACAAAACGTTCGTTAAGTGCATTATGTTTTAGAGACTAAATTATCCTTCTCGTGAATTTCTGGTGTGCTGATCTGCAGTGCAGTGCAATACATACCTGCTGCAATACTTCCAAATTCGAATATCCACCATTGCATCCCGGACATAGCGAGTCCAGGAATTGCCAGTTTGAACCAGATATACCAGTCAAGCCACATCTCTTTCGCATATCCTAAAATCCAAAAAGTGCCTGATTTTTACTTTTCGGAAAGGAGATTTGTGTACTGCTTAAATTCACATGCGACATGTTGGCTTGTCATGGTATATTTTATTCCTTTAAACTAACCTAGTGTTGTTTTGACTATCGGACGATAAATTGTATTTGGGCAAGTCACTTTTATCTCGAAGGCTATCGGTATTTCTTAACCCCACGGAAGTGGAACAGAATCTACCTTTGGATTTGGCATTATAAAAACAGACTTGCTAGGATTTTTTAACGGTTGTAACGCTTGCCAACGTGAGCTTTTTGTAAGTATTTTTAAAAAATCACGAAAAAAGCATATAAAAGATGATGTTCAATGTAAAATATCATCCTTCTAATGCAAAAGACGTCTTATTTTCGTTTGAATTCGCTTTTAATTAACAGATAACTGCGAATGGGTAAAAATACAATCCTATATTTACAAGTGTTTGAAATTGTCCTGTTCCTCAAGTTGTTGACAGTGAATCGCAAATCACAAAATACTAGTTCGACTAGCAGGATGTCTCTGTAGAGGCAACGTCATTCCCTGCTATATGAATGAGTGCGGGAAGGAATTCAATACATAAAAAGGAAGTATTGCGTAAAAATCGGGAGTCACACGAAAAACTCCTTCTTAACTACATGCAACATTTTCGAACGTCATATAGAAAACAATAATAGTATAATTGAAAAGAAGGGGTGACAATACTACAATCTTGTCTATCAAATAAAGCATCACTTTTTAGTGTGCGCCAAACATCAGTTGTGCACATGTTTTCTTATTAAAACATCTTTATTCTGAGGCAACATCAGGTCTTTCACCTTAGGGGATATACGCTAAGCACGAAGCAGCAGCAAGCACAAATAACGTTAAAGTGACTGCTTACACATGACCGCATCACTTTTCTCCAAATAGGCTTGTTTTCTTTAGAATGTATCAAAGAATGAATTAATTGAACAACGGTTGATGTTATATATGTATATTAATGTACGTAAAGATTCGGAGTCCCGATATGTTATCGTGTTAACCATCTTCCCAGGATGGAGAAGAAAGGGGCGAGTTTGTGGTCCAAACTGATATTTCGCCTTTATTATCTGCACGAAATTTACTATCGAAGAGTTACTCTTTATACTACGCATCCGTCTTTTATATAATTTTACTTCAACTCAATTTTTATAGAGAAAAAGCAAACAAATTCTTCTCTTCCAAGATGGAACTCACGTAATACAAAATAAAACGGCCCGGATAAGCGAGAGGGGCTAAGTGCCAGTTAACATACCTCGGCAGGTGGTTTTAAATAGCCCAGACCGCTTCAAGTAACCAAGCACTCCAAGAAGTTGACAACAGTAGGCAATCGACTGCGCAAGGGCCGATCCACTAAACAGTTTACAAATGTTAAATTTCAGTTACTTTTCACACTGGAAACTAGCATATTTAATTTCAAAAATCAGATTACAATTAGAAAAAATAGGGGTTTAAAGGGTAAATAATATACACTATGAAATCTAAAGTCAGTAACTTGTCTAACTTGAAAGGAAAAATTACGAATCTCAAAAACACACAATATTTCAAAACATAGGGATATAAAGGTCAAATAATATACACCACGTAATATGCTGCGCAACCATAGAACAAGAATGGTAACTTGTTAATATCTAGACTTGCTTCTGACTATGAACACTGGTGGGTCGGAGGTCATCTCGGATCGTTTTATTCAATTTTGGCAAGTCATCTTAGCTTAATGATAGCAGGAGGACATACTTCGTACAGTCGATATCAGTCAGCCTACAATATGCATATCTGGCCAGTGGATCCACGTTCAGCTATTAATCTAGTTTTAGTTGGATTTCGTCTTGGAAACGCGCTGAAATATAAACCACCAAAAGACTTAATATGCCTTCGAAGCACGCTTTTTCCTCAGGATACCGTAGGTTACCGTACTAAATCACTAATTCATTTTAATGAGGCTCCTTCGAATTTTCGAGTTGAGAATGGTTTCAGACAGCTGCTTAAACTGCAGTATGGCGGCTGTCTACTTTGTCTCTTTGACGCCTGGAAACGTAGAGACAAGAAAGCGTTTTTTATGACGGCTTGCCTTCATCTTGTCACGAAAGCGTCGCCATACACAACGGCAGTTTATATTTCAAATATTAGGCTTCACATCTCGGTAGCCCCGTCACATTCTCACCCGATACGAGGGGCTACTTATTTGGCAATTGATAATAGCTAAAAACTGATCCACCATCCATGAAGCCTCCTTCCCGGTCTCGTCAGCAATAACTCACATACTGGGTCGGGACATTTTGTTGCTACCTATTACACAAAATTGTTAACTAGGTGGGCCACAATGGCGTCCAAGGTGGCCTAGCTAGTCCACTAGCTATTTTTGTGTATGATTGTATAATGGGACCTCGTGTTTATATCTGCAGTACGTGCTTTTCAGGTACATCTAAATGAGTAAATGCACAGAACCGAAATCGGACGGACATCTGGCTACTATCTCCTGAGTATGCAGGGAACCTTAATTAAAAATTTTTCTTCAGTTAACTACAGGGCGTCTATTTGGTGTTGTAAGTGATGATATGCTAAAGGTGACCCTCATTTTCACTGTCATACTGAGCTCTATATGCGACGTTTCACGAGTCAAAGGCAATTTAAGTCATTGTAACGTCGAAAAACAAATATGCACGTAAAAATCTGTTAGAGTTTGTTTGTCAACCATTAAATATCTTTAATTATACAGGTTTTAAACTAGTTGCGCTATGCAAAATTTCTATATTCCATCACTTGCAAGAAAATAAAAGCTTCAATTAGCAGACGTGCACATTATTCTTGTTTAAGGCCAGGCCGAAAGAATAGACTGGTTAAAACTAATATTAACTTTACTAAATTGAGGTAAATATCGGCTTAATTATTAAAATAACTCACTCAATTCCAGTCCCCATTTGATGAAGTAAAATATAATGCAAGAGTGCATTTATACAATTTCCCGTAACTCCGATTGCCAACGGCCCCAGTACTCTATTCTATAACAAGAAAAAAAGACTTTAAAATACGAGAAACTTGGCTTCTGCATGTAGTTTTGAGAGTTTCCATCGAATACATACCTGTGCTTGAACATATTTTATGAGGGTTTGATAGAGAGCCACAAACTAAAGCAAAGGTCACCTTCGGACTTTATAGAAAATTTAACTTACCCATAGTCCAGGCATCATAAAAAGTAAGTAGCGACTGACCAGTCTAAAGAACAACGCACACCGAAGTAAGGTCATTTTCTGCATATTAAAACTATTCTGCGTCTCTAGTGATTATCATCGACAAGACACTAAGGGATCGGAAGGCCCTTACAAATTTCATAATTAACTCCAAAATCTTTAATTTTGAAACAGAAAATGTCCCCAAATGTGTTAATTGCATTTGCATCAGTGCAATAGTTAACATGTGAGTCGTCGATGTTGAGAAGAAAAATGGACATACATGACAATTTTCGGATTCTGTTTCGCAGCCAGAAGGATCGGCTCCACAAGCAAATGAATTGCCCAGCAAGGAAAGCAGCATAATGAAATAATAATAAGGGCTGAAAAAAGAAAGAAGACTCTTCGTAAGTAACAATCAAAATTATTGAATGGCTTTTGCAAATACCGAGCAAGCGGTTAGGAAATGAAAAGAAACAAAGTATCGTGTTCAGCCGCTTCGTTTTCAACCGCTTTGCTGTAGTAATATTTGATGACTAAAAATATAATGCATTTAAACTTGATGATACCGCATTTGTACAGTAAACGTTAGGCACGAAAGACGATATATTTGTCAAATGAATCTGGCCCTCGTCTTTTATGACCAAAATGAAAATTCAGCTATCGAAGCAACGTTGGTGAAATGTTTAGGTTAAAGCAACGTACCCCTCTGTAACTGAACTCCCATTTTGAACTTGTCCTCTCCGCCAAAAGTCTTGATTGTGCAAAGAAATATAACAGTAAACCAAACAAATGATGTTATTATGCTAAACATAAAAATTAAATTCAACAAATAGTCCAATCCTTCGTTCAAATGAACTCAAGTCAATATCTCGACAAAAGTTATGAAAGAACTTCGTGAAAGCGAGCAATATTCTTAATAATTTTGACGGTTCAACAGCTTAAAACTAAAGTAGGTTAACAGAGTCAAAAATAAAAATAAAGTATGGAATATGCTTTGTACCATTTAATAGCATCTGCCGCATCCCCTCTAAATAGGCCCGCCATCGGACTCTGGTTCTAGGTGACGGCAATCAACCGTTAAGCGTTAAAATAGAAACGTCTTTCCACTTTCAAAACATTGTAAACTAATTTTTCTCCAGAAAATATACTCCGCAAATTTTTGCTCGAAACGTTAACACTTAAGCTGGGCACATGAAGAGGGGTTAGCTGGTGGTGAATTTTGGGTTCTTTTACCTTCTAAGTTATACATCTTAATCATCGAAAGGAATGAATTGCTATGATTTATTTTAAGAGAACAATATATTGAGAAGAAGACCACTCGATCGCTGGGACCGTAAATCTATTCGCCCGACGTTTCGACATCCATCGCGGATTCGAAATCAGAGACATAAACAGAAAGCAGTAGCAGCTACGGGTAGGATATGCACATGAGTTGGCAGCATTCATAGGATACAGTTATTACTGCAAACATACAGCAACAATTAACACTAATTGCCCTCTTGCGCGTTAATAGTTTGTTGAACGGCATGTGGGCTCTGACCTGTTGAACTCTCATCACGCGTGGTGAACGCTAACGTGGTGATTGCTTGAATATCTGGCCCTCCGGTGTTGGCGTAAAATGACGAGTGGCCTGTCCGTTCCCCAAGTGGCGACTTGCACCGAATATACATTGGGCAAATAGTTGCACTTTTTTGTGGCTTGGGGGCCGCGAACCATGACTCAAGTAATTCTCAGCTCACCCGATTGTCATTTCTTGCCAGAATTTCGGCCTCATCAAATTTGAAGGTGTGGCCGGGTCTCTTCAAATGAGTCGCAACTTGAGAATTGGCATCATTTCACAACACTGCTTCCATGTGTTCGGCAATTCGCGTCTTGAGAAGTCCACTAGTTTTTCCGACATAACTGCTTTGTCCGCAAATGCACCAGATCCTGAAGACCACTCCAGATGTTTCTTGCTATGGCAGTGGCTCTTTAGGTTTCATATTCTGACGCCTTATAGTTGCCTCTGGCCTGTGTGCGACTTTCCTTCGGAGTGGTGCGAGAAGGCGGCCGACAGCCTACAAGAAGATGTTGGCGTACGGGATCTCTCGCCAAATTTTGAGGTTTGTGCGATTTTGTTGGCCATCTCGTTTGCGCATGCACGGGTTGACGAAGTTGCGAGAGTAGCCATTTCCTGTGAACACTCGTCGAAGTTATTGTACTTCAGCAACTTTGTCTTCTGGTTCGCTGCAATGCGTCTTAACAGGCTGATCGAGCGTCCTTATGCAACTGCGTATATGGCTGATTTGGTTTTTGCTGTTGGGATTCAGTACTTGCATTACGTTTGTCGCTTTCCTGAATACCTTAGCCTTGAGGCCACCATAATCTTTGCGACGGACGTGGAGATCAAGCAAGGACAGCTGATTTTTCTTTTCCTCCGCAGTCGTAAATTGGATGTCCGGGAAGACGCTGTTGGGACGTTCCTCGAAAGTGAGCATCTGATCGCGTTTGATGACGACAAAGGTTTCATCTGTATACCGTGCCAAGAAGTTTGGTCTGTTGTGTTGGAAGAGCACCCACTCCAGTCGTTGTAGAACCGCCTCTATCTGTATGAGGTAGCATGATATCTGCATGCTAGGATAAAGCAGAGTGCATTGTTGTGTCCTTTTGATATTCATTCTGTTGTTTGTTCGAATCTTATCATATATGGGTACAAGAATAAGGAGGGTAACTCGACACATTTACTCATGACTACACTCGGGCTTTTTTCATTACTAACACAAAAAGGGAAGAACTTGCGCCCTTATCATGCGAAAGAGGCCGCTTTTATAAAATTTCCCAAGACCATACTCGTCTCTGTGCACACACTAACAACAATCTTCTATATTAAAACAGGCATAAGATGAGTATTCCTCAAGCAATTGAAATAAGCCCTATACCTGAGAGAAAAGGGTGTCGCAAGCTGTCAGGAGTCCTGTAATAATTGCGAATCCAGTGACATTAAAGATAGAGATAGCTAGGCCAGCGGCTGCCAAATTCGTTTGTCCGAGGTGACCACAGAAAGCCAGACTGATGGGGCCGAACATGAAGGTAACCGCCGATGTCAAGACCTGGGAAGAAAATCCGCAAATATGAATTATTTCTGATAGTTCTATTTACGCGACTTCTAAGTGTGGGCAGAGAAGGTGTCTGCATAACTTGACTAAAGAAAAAGTATTTGTTCGTTAAGAAAGACGTTGAGGGTAAGTTTAATTTATTGACGTAACCTCAGAGGCAAACAAAAATATCAAGTTATTGTGAGAATTTTTAAAGCAAATATAATTCTAAAAAAAACTAATGACCTGTTTGGGTCCTGCCTAATTTAGTGAGGATCAGAGACGTAGATCCAGCGTTCTATACTCATTTTTATTGTTTAAATTCTGACGACTTTCGGCGCACTACAATTGGCTGCTTTTAATATAGCCATGTGTGAGTTCCTACAGATGAGAGTTTCCAAACAATAGGACTTAATCCATTTTGCTTGAGGAACCAGTCAGTGTTCTACAGGCGTAGATGCCGTTCCTCGTCTGCTCTGACTTGAATTTGTGTGTTAATAAACACAAAGTGTTTTTAAACCTCGGAACCATGAAAGGGAGGATTCTTTCGTCTGGGTTAATATGAACAGCAAAGCGAGAAGCTTTAATTATAAGTAGCAGTTGTTAGGAGAAAGGCCGTTATTTTGGACTTAAAATTCCTCAGCAGAAAACACATAATAAATGAGTCATGCAGCCAGTATGTTATTATGCACAGTCCAAGTGTAGTATCAGTCATGTATTGTACGCTTTTGAGGTTTTTGAGGAGTAGTAAAACTCCGTCTTCTTGATGAAAACCGGTACTGGCTGAAGTTTAAGAACCCGACCATACCTGATGACAGTGTAGGAAGTGGGAATTATAGATGCCGATCTGGCACTAATATTGATTATGTTTTTTATCGTTTTCCGTTTATTATAACTCACAGGTTTTCGACTGGACTAGAGCGGAAGGACTTCAACGACTGAATGCAATTCAAGGGCCAAATATATAGGTTGTAACTTGATTTAACTATATAATCAAGTACTTTGGTTTCAACAGACTGGGACTAGCATGTAATAGTATTTCATATGCAAGCAATATGCAATATAAAAGGGCAGATGCTGCACCTCCTTGCGGCTAGCTATAAAAGGACAGAAACTTAGGTACCTTCTGGAAACAATTGAAAAGGGTCTTTCATGGAAAGGCATCCTTTGGGAAATAGGTAGTTTATTGCGTAAATTT